TTATAAAAATGTGAGGGGTGTACTCACTTCTGTGAGATACTATATATATATATATATATATATATATAAATAAAATAAACTTTTTGGATTGATGTTTTTAAAACATTTTGACACTGCCTGATCCTCAAAATTTGCATACAAGTCTAACTTACAATACCTCTAATCTCATTTTGATTATAGGTTTAAACTTTACATTTAAATCACAACAGTCGGTACAGTACAGGTTGATACCTCTGGGCCTGAAATGCCAAAGAACTGTGTTTAAAGGTCTCTGGCCAATCTCCTCACATTGGATTAAGAATAAAGCTCTTAGAAATAGGCATTCCAAGCAGTCATACTGCAAACAAAACATAAGATATCTAATTGCTAAAAAAGATATTACATTTGAACCATTACCATTTTAATTCAAATTAAATTGACTAATCTTTAAGCTGTAGTCTATAGCTATTCCACATGCCTTAAAAGTCAGTAGTTTTCCTTCAACTTTAATCTTCTACCATAATACTTTCATGCCACTGACGTGGAAATAGGGTGGAAAAAATAAAGGAAACACCTGATAATACATAATTATCAATGATCTATATAGACTGTTTGCCTTCGAACAGCTTCAGTCCTTGGAATGCTGTCATCAAGTCCACAACCGTGTGGGGAACAGCACCATTCAAGAAGAGAATCTTGCTCTTCTTTGAGGTGTAATGGAGGGGGAAGTGTTTTGCAGAACAACTTGTATAGAAGATTTTTACAATGACATTTACATCTGGTAGTTAGCAACATCATGGAAGGTGTTTGACCTCATCCTGCTGTTTAAGAAGTCATTCTCAGTTGTATCGCTGCAGGCGTTTTCACCACAGGATATGGCAACAGTGTTTTCCCCGTAGGGGGCTCTGGTCCTCTGTTATGTAATTAATGCCTTAAAAGTCAGTAGTTTTCCTTAAACTTTAATCTTCTACCATAATACTTTCATGCCACTGACGTGGAAATAGGGTGGAAAAAATAAAGGAAACGCCTGATAATACATAATTATCAATGATCTATATAGACTGTTTGCCTTCGAACAGCTTCAGTCCTTGGAATGCTGTCATCAAGTCCACAACCGTGTGGGGAACAGCACCATTCAAGAAGAGAATCTTGCTCTTCTTTGAGGTGTAATGGAGGGGGAAGTGTTTTGCAGAACAACTTGTATAGAAGATTTTTACAATGACATTTACATCTGGTAGTTAGCAACATCATGGAAGGTGTTTGACCTCATCCTGCTGTTTAAGAAGTCATTCTCAGTTGTATCGCTGCAGGCGTTTTCACCACAGGATATGGCAACAGTGTTTTCCCCGTAGGGGGCTCTGGTCCTCTGTTATGTAATTAGAATAGTTGATTTAACATGTTAATTTGATATGTTTATTATGAGAAAAAAAAATAATGCAATCAAATTATTAACGCAGCCTGTCCCGCCCAGACCTATATGTTATCTTATGTCTTTCTTGTATTCGGACAACAGGACGATGAATGACTGCACTGACGTAGCCTATGAGAATGCAGTTATATGCCTATAAAATTCAAGATATGAGGGAAAAATGCCTCGTATGGGTTTTTGTCATATTTATATCATATGATATAGTATAGCAATAATCACACAAGTGCTGTTTTTTCCTCAAATATCCCCTTGATTGCAAATGTGATATTCAATGATCAGAAGATCAGAAAGAGCTTTATTACCAAGTGTGTTTCCACACACAAGAAATTCGTCTTGGTATCATGAGCTGACAGTACAGAAAGTTGAAATGTATCTAAATTGCCAGCACTTCAGATGCAGCTTCTAAAAACAATGTTAGGTCCACACTGTAGCCTTAAAGGTTTAGGTGTAATAAATTCTATGTTGAATCAAAATATTTCTAAGTCTATTCAGATCTTATTTAACACAATAATGACTTTAAATGATCTTTTAGAGGTAATTTCTTAGCCCAAATTGAAGTGTGATTAATTGGCGGCATAAAATGTAGATTCAAATTTTTAATTGCTTGACGGCCCTAATAAATGATATTACAGTAAATTATAATTATGTATTACAGTCATCAGACATAATGATTTAGCTATTCCTTTATGGATTAGGAACAATATTTAAGAGTTTCCTAAAACACTGATTTAATTGGCATTCTTTGGCTTCTTATGGAGGACTGTTTACTGATCCTGGTAGAGTAGACTACAATGCCGGCTATTCTGACTCACAGACTGTAAACACAGACCAAAGATGAATCCTCAAAGCATCTCTTACTCCTAAAACTAATTAACCTACACTGACTCACCTTTGTAGCTGTGCAATTAAAGGGGTCATATGATGCGATTTCAATTTTTCCTTTCTCTTTGGAGTGTTACAAGCTCTTGGTGCATAAAGAAGATCTGTAAAGTTGCAAAGACTAAAGTCTCAAATCCAAAGAGATATTCTTTATAAAAGTTAAGAGTTAACCACGCCTACCTAAAATGGCTCGTTCTAACACGCGAAACTACTTTGTTTGGTCTTCCAAAAAAGGACTAGAAATCAGTGGTTATGTTGTATTTACAACACTGTTCCAGAACA